TAGCGATATATTGTTGATTTTAAATATTATTTTTATATTTAAAATAATGTTTTTTTCAATACTTTTTATTCAGGTAATACCTCCTCTTAGAAATACGACATTCAATGTAATATTTCTTGGTAGAGAAGAAGGTGAGATTGATACTTACCTCTTTATACACACATCAGAGGGTACTATAAAGTATCAAGTAACGTATAACATTATTGTAATGTTTACTTATTATTATTTCTTTTTTTTTTGCATTTTCTATTTCTTTTAAATAAATATTTCATCCTTACCTACAATTTTTTGTTTGAATATAGGTCAGAGGAATAAGCATTAGTAGTCCATATCGACTAAGACCCGTAATCGATGTAAAGTTACCATTAAACGCATCTTTTACTCCGCTAATATACATGCATAATCCACATCCAGAATCATTGCAAGTAAATATTTTAATCTATCTTTCTTAATTATGTAATATAATAAATAATCTAATTGATACTTTGTTTTTTTTTTTATTTTTGCTCTAATATCAATAATTAAAATATTTCTTTTCGAGAAATTGTAGCGTTGGAAGAATAATTATTATTTTGTGATATGTTCCTGATTATTTTTAATTTAAGGTAGTAGAAATATATAGTAGTGGAGGAGAATTTCAATTGGAATTACCATCAGGGGAAGCGGAGGGTTCTCGTGAATTATGGGAAATACCACCTTATCAAACGAAACCAATTATAAGGCTTCATTTTAATGCTTATACAGAAAAAAATCACACTGCATATATTAGGTTTGTTTAAGATTGCATTAACCAACATTTTTATACATTTCTATGTCTGTTGTTAGAACGATACTAACACAATTGTTATATATATTTTATTTTAGAGTTAAAGTAAATAATACTGCTGAGATATTAATTGTAGCAGTCGAAGTAGAAGTTAAGAGTGGAGCTGGTCTTCATTGGGGTGGAAGTTCGGGAAGAATAAATTTTGGTATGGGAGGTTCATTACAACCACCCACATATCATATAATTGCTTTAAAAAATTCAGCTAAAAAAGCAGTTAAAGTTGTGGTAAATGATCCATCATCTGTTTGTTTATATTTAGATAATAAAATTAATCATTTGAGTCGCAACGCGCGCTCGCTGTTCAGATTTCTTGTAGAAATTGATACGTTATCGATACGAATTGTTGATACGATTCTTTTTAAAAGATCTCTAAGACTCAAATGATTAATATATTATAAATTATATCTATATCTTATTATATTATTATTTTTAGAATATTATTAGCACCCCCATATCGAAAGCATTAGGACTCCAATTTAAGCCAACTACTATTCCTGGGGATACTGATATCCCAATTGCTATTGGAACACTATTTTATGATTGTAAATAATGCAATTATTGTGAAATATATTATAAATAAATGTAATACATTTATTTCAAATTATTTTCATTTGATTATATATGTTTCAGGGAAAGCTGGTTTAGAATTACAACATTTTAAGGGAAAATTAATGATTAAAGCAATGGGGCCTGGTGGTACTAGTCAAAAATTAGCCATACCATGGATAGCACAGGCGTTACAAGGAGGACTAGAAGTAAATGCTTCTATTACTCATTATTGTTCTCTGCAAACTAGCCAAGCCCAAAATTTTAGCGTTGTAAATAAATTTAAATTACCATTAGCTATCACACATGTTACGATGTCACCTAATGTTAAATCTCGTTTCATGGTAAGAAACAAAACTACGCATATTTTATAATATTATTTATTATATCAATATGGTTATATCATTGATTTTTTTCCAGATAAAAAATTTTACTCCTAGAGTAATAAAGCCAGAACAAAAAGTTAATATATTTTCTTTACAACTTACCAAAGAAAAGAAAAATGATGACGTCGAGATGGAATCATCGATATTAATACATTCAAATGTATCTATAACTAAAGTACCCTTACTAAGTTATGATGGAAAAGTAAGGAGAATAGTTCCAGGAGAAAGAGAAGACGATAAAGGTACCATGAATTTTGGTACCGTTAGTAGTGGAACTGAAAACGAGGCAATATTTGCATTAGAAAATCAGAATCCAGTTAATATAGATTTACACGATTGGGGAGTAAATATGCCTGGAGCAGTTTTGGAATTGATGGGTTGTCAAAGTGGCCCTGCTAATTTATTGGACGAGGAGCTTAAGAACGTAACTGTATGTAGTAATACTGGCACTGTAAGTATTGTTAATCTTACGTTTAAAATTATGTCCTATAATATATATTAAAAACAATATAAATATTATTAATTACAGCAATTTATAAAACCTGGATTTTTAGCTATTTTTAAGATCATAGTAAAAGCCCCTATGATAGAAGAGGATACGATAGTCGGCGATGTCTTTGTTAGAACCAAATACGAAAGATTTATTTTACCCGTATTCATGCGAGTTGCTCATGGAAAAATATCTGTAAAGAAACTTATATTTACAGATTGTTTTCCTGTAAGTAAATAATTATAAATTATTTATTATTATTATTATTATGTAATATACTATCTAATATATATGTTTATAATATTTATGTATCTAGGGATCGATATGCGTACAACAAGTTAAAGTGCATTCTACGTTTGCCAGACCGATGGAAGTAACTGAAATAATTTCAGTTAATAAAGATGATAGAATAAAATATATACCTTTAGAAGAAGCATCGTTACCGACAATATCTAAAGGTGATAATCTGGTAGGATCTATAAAGATTAATCCATCCATCAACTGTAAACAACGATGCTACCTTGACTTATTATTAGATACAAACGGTATTTTAATTATTTTTATTAAATAATTTCTTACGTACACCACACGCACGCACGTATAAATATATTAAAGATACAGTTGTTACGTTATTATTGTTTTTCATTTACAGCTGGTAGTCAATGGTTAAATACAATGAGCCTTCCTTCTCACACACGTGATACAGATTTAAATTTACTAACTACACGTTACATGCGTTTCATTAATTCTACTGGAGGAGGTTCTTGGGATAATGTAACAATGCGTTTAGATACTAACGAAGTACGTGGTTATAAATTTGATGTCAACATCAAACCACATTGGCCCAGTTTATTGACCAGTTCTGGAAATGCTAGCAAAAACAAAAGTATAATAATGTTTCCATTAACGCAAGTTGGATATACGTCGCATAAAAAAATTAAATTATATAATCCGAGCAGAAATCCTTTAATAATTCAATTAGTAATGGACTGGAGTTATCCTCAAGGATCAAGATTATTTCATTCTTTACCTAGCAAGTATGTATATATATAATATTAAAAAAATATTTATTGCAATCTTGATAATGAATTTATAGAAATGAATTACTTGTGACGATATCATTTAAATAGGTTCAAACCAATGTGTACAGAATGTTTACCTACAGTACAAGAGGAATTTAAATTGGAAGACAACGCGGAGGAACGAGAATCGTTTGAAAAACAATGGGATGTTACGGTGGCTTCGCAATCATTTCCTTTCTATTTAAATCCTTCAGAATCCAAAACTATTAAAATAACATATTCACCTTCTTCTGCATCACTTTCGTCTGCTCTTATATATATTAGGTATGTGTATAGATATTTAAAAAATAATTTATAACAATTAAACACGAATTGAAAATATTTTAGAAATAATATGACCATCCTAGAAGTGTTACGTGTAATGGGACGAGGAGCAAGTGCACAATTTAGGTTTGGAAATCGTAAACCAGGTTCTACTACGCCTTTATTATTTGAACTTGGAGATAAACACCTTAAAGATTGTGAACGTATGTACGTTCCCTTATCCTTATTCTATCGGCTTAGTATGAAACGTAGTTAAAATATTTAATTATTTATTTCTTTTTTCTTTTTTACAATCGTTAAAATATTTCTATCAAACTTATTTATTTATTTATTTATAATATATAAATTATCAAACATATATTTTTGATAAAATTTATATAAAGATATTAATTAACAATTACGTTGATTTTGAATAGGTGAAAGATCGAAAAGAAATTCTATTCCAAATTTAACGGTTAAAAGATCCTTCACGGCGAGAAATACTGGCGAATTATTGGTACATATTTACGATTTCTATATAAGTGGTTCGCGTTGCGAAGGATATGGGTTTAAGGTACTTAATTGTGCCCAATTTGTATTGCTCCCAAATGTTACGCAAAAAATAGAAATAGCGTTTACGCCGGACTTTACTTTATCACGGATTGAAAGAAAATTATTAATATTAACGAGTTTGGGAACTGAAAATCAGACTAGCACGATAAAGCTTAATTTATTGGCAACACTTCCTATGCATTTATTGGAACCTTGCTCAGCAATATTAATTAGACCGTCATGGGAAAATATATTACATTGGGCAGCTGTATTTCTTTCATCGTTATTGTTGATTTTTGTATTAGCTATATCCTTTCTCGAATCGGAACAAATATTAAAAGGTACATTGGTTAATTCATCTCGAGAAAGTTCTGTTCAGCCGCCTCTTGATCTTAGGCTTTTGTCGTACGTGCCAGCTCAAATGACTGATATAAATAATACGTTGAAAGAGAAAATTATTAACGAGGATAAAAATAAATTAAATAAAAGGGATGAGGTAACATCGGAATGGATGTTAATTAATAATAAACGTTGTAAGGACAAGGATTTGCAAAAGAGTCTGAAAATTTCTGATTGGACATCGGAAGAAGAACAACGTTTTAAATTGGATACAGAATCGAAAGATTTGTTATCTTTCAAATCTTGCGAAAATACCCTTGATAATTCGAATAATATCACGAATATTTCACTTGGTACTAGAAAGAGAAATAATAAAAAACAACAAATAATCATTCAAGAAAGTCAATCCGATAATAATTGTCTGATAGAAAATACATTTACTGAAATTCAGTCAGTACAAGAAAAGAAATATAGGACGCATTCTTTAATTAAATCTAGTCCAGTTATAAATAGAAAAACTAAATCAAACAATGTTGGAAATGGGAAAGAAGAATCGTTAAAGTCATGCGACAATGAAACGCAAGGAGATAATATTTATTTAAATAATAAAAGTAATAAATCGGATAATAAAAGAAAGCAAATAACTGGTGGTAATAGTAGTACCGGTCATAGTAATCACACGTTAAAGAAACTCGAAATATCATCGCAGCAAAAAAACAATGTTCAACTTTCGGAAGAAGAAACTTCATCGACGACGACGGAAAGTTCAGTACAGGATGATTCGTCGTCTTTATGTAAAGTAAGCTTTTATTTTTTTTATTTAAATCTTAACCAGATTGTCTATACTTATTTTACAAAAATATATTATATTATATTATTTTCAGGGACACGATCAAAATTGTATAAAAACAGATAAATTACAAAGAAAACAAGGGAATAAAAAAAACAAATCTCAAGCTATAATCCCGTCTGTACCTTGCGTCGATTACAAAGACAATTACGAGGGGGATTGTGACGATGACGAATACGACAAAGAAAGGCATAACAATCCGAATAGATGGAAAACAAATACAACTAGATCTAGTACGAAATATCATATTCATGGATCGCGTACAGTCGAATCGTCTTATAAATTACCACGACAGAGTAAAAATCTTCCAAGGAAAGATAAAGTATCGCAGAAACGACGTGGAACTGATAAAATTCATACAAAAAGTATATATAACTATGTATATATATATATTTATTTGTAGATAACTAATTTATAATTATTCGTATGTCTTGTATTATGCTGTATTTATTTACAGATTCGTCTTTAAACGGGAATACAAATGCAAAGGAAGATGGGATACGAAATTTAGGAACAACACCTACGATATCACCGCCACCACCACCTTCGGGATGGGGCGAACACAGAGCTAAATTTAGCGACGTTGTAGCACGTAATCAAGAAAGCATCCCAACGTTTTCTAATTTGTCAAATTTACATGAAAATCAAGCAGTCTCACACAATTTATCTTTGGTATTTAATAACGATAACAAAGATATAGAATATATAAAACAACAGCAGAACCATGAATCGATAGAATCTACCAAAGAATACGAAGTAATGCCAGATGTTTTACCACTTTGCATACCATCCGTTGGAAGGACTAAATTGATTTGTCAGGATCATTTAATGACGCAAACTAATATCCCGCTTATAAATAGTTATTTTATCAATAACTTTATAGATCCTTCAGTACGTAATATTTATATACATATTATAACTTTTATCATTGTAAGATTTATTTGTATCTTTGTGGTTTATCTCATTGTAGTTCGAAAGAGAATTAGTACCGTATGACGATCTTCCAGAAACGGATGAATTATTGGTCGAATTAGAAAGTCCAGAAGAAGATACGAGATGTCAATTGTGGAACGATAATAGATCTATGGTAGATTTATTATCGGATAGTACAGGTTCTTTTCAATTTGACTCTTCTAATTCTACAGAAGATGGCACAAATTTAACAGATTCTTTAAGAGGTAACAAAACATTTTATGTCATTTATTATTGAATATATTATTTCTTTTTTATTTACTTTTTAAAAAAGGGTATATTTTTAAATAACAACGTATTATTAATTTATCGTAGATAATTGGGCGAATGTAGAAACTAATTGGGAACCATTATACACTAGAACAGCAGTCGGAGAAGAACGAAGTGGCGTATGGGGTGTTAATACAGGTGGTGTTTGGGCAGCTGCACCTTGGGGTGCAACCGCACAACCACATACTACGTTATCTGTGCCACTACAATTATCAGAATCAGATGCACAGGTAATAATAATGTTTAACAAATATATTTAAATAATTTATATATATACATATTAAAGAAATTGGAATAATATATTATATATATATATAATTAAATGAATAACGAAAGAGAGTTAGATAAAAATGAATATTATACGAAGTATAGCAAAGTTATTATTTTAGGATGGAACTGGATTTGATCCGTTTCGTTCTTTAAATACAATTTGGACGCCGTCATCAACAGAGTCTTGGAAAAAAAAGCATGAGGATTAATAACTGTTAACGTTACTAATTTATCTCGTGATATTGTTGGCTTGTTTAAAAGTATTTTTTTTTTTTTTGTGAAGAAGTGAAAGTAATGTATTAAAAAAAAACAAACAAAAAAAAACAAAAAAAGATACAACAAAGTTATAAAAAAAATTAATTGCAATTGAGATCAATCGACTAATCAAGTTCACGGCGACATTCAATTTTGTTTTATTCGAATTAAAGAAATTTACTGAAGGCAATAAAAAAAGATTCTCTTTTTATACAATATATTATAAAATTGTTTCGTTTTTAAAATGCGTATTTCTAAATTTTGATAAGCTGATATAATTACATTGTATTAAAAATATACGTCAATTATTTGTTTTCATAGATCAAATTAACTTTCATTAGTTTGATTATGATTAAAAGTGCATGATACATTATTACAGCATTGAAAAAACTTAAGTAATCATTTAAATTTCTTTAAGAATTTGATTCTCAATTGCACATTGTTTTTCGTTTTCTTTTTTATTTGATATTTATTGTAAATGAGAAATTATTGTTCACGGTACTCAATAATATTTGAGAATATTGTTATTTTGTTATTACTGAAAAAAAAGAAGAAAAAAAAGAAAAGAAAGAAAAATAAGAAATGATAATTAAGTTAATTAAAAAGTGAGAGAGAACTGTGATTTTTATAGTCTTGACTCTTCTTGTAGAAATTTCTGTAGTAAAAGTTTTCAAGACATTTTACAAAGTTGTGATGTATACAAAAGGAAAATAAAACATATGTACCTACTCTTCAAGACTGGTATATAATTATTGTTTTAATTTAAAAATCTCTTATAAAGAGTATGGCATAATAATTATCAATCTTCTTAGAGAATTTATCTATGACTCGAAGAACGATTAATAATTTATATAGACATAATAAGATGAAATATAAAAATGGCGGCATAGAAATAGATCTAGAGTCATAAGTAAAATCCAATACAGTTAAATAAAATCCATTATTCGTATCTATCCACTATGAGTTTTTGGCAAAAGGAATATTTTTGTCTATTATATAAATGAAGATTCATTTAATCATTTGTCAAATATTTTGTGTTATACACGTCATGTCAAACTGTTTTCCTTAACCTCTGAAATGGAGAATGAAAAAGTGCATATTCGTCATGTAATGCTTTGGGAATTTAAACAAGGCAATAGTGCTAAAGCAACAGCGGAGAAAATATGCACCGTATATGGTGAAGGATTAATAACTGATCGGGCAGTTAGAAATTGGTTTGTAAAATTTAGATTTGGAGATACAAGTTTAAAAGATGAACCAAGAGCGGGACGTCCTTCCGACTTTGACGACAACCTTTTAAAGACAATATTGGATCAAAATCCACGACAATCAACGAGAGGAATAGCAAAAAGATTGAATATATCAAAATCAACTGTTAATCGTCATCTGGAGAAATTAGGGAAAGTCAGTAAATTAAAAGTATCGGTACCTCACAATCTTAGTGAACAGAATAAAGAAGATCGCGTATCAATCGCCACAAATCTGCTTTCACGAGTCAAAATTGAGCCTTTTTTAAATGATATTGTAACAGGTGATAGAAAATGGATACCTTATGAAAATAAGATTAGCAAAAGACGGTGGCTTGACAAGGATCAACCACCGCAACCACCTCAACCATCTCTAGATCCAAAAACAGACATACATGGTAAAAAGGTTTTATTGTGTGTATGGTGGGATTGTCGAGGTATTATTTATCATGAGTTGTTGAAACCAAATTTAACGATTACTGCGGATAGATACGTTCAACAATTGCAAAGAGTGCAAGAGAAACTCAATGAAAAACGTCCTGCACTCGTCAATCGCAAAAATATTATTCTCTTACACGACAATGTGCGATCACATACAGCAAAGGTGACTCAAGAAAAAATTCTTGAGCTTGGATGGTCTGTTTTACCACACCCACCTTATTCACCAGATCTTGCCCCAACAAATTACCACCTTTTCTCTTCCTTGAAAAACTTTTTGAATGGAAAAACCTTCAAATCTGAAGAACAAGTCAATCAGGCTGTCGAAAACTTCTTCCAGTCCAAACCAACCACATTTTACAAAGAAGGAATTGATAAACTACCAGAAAGATGGGAGAAAGTTATACATAATAATGGCGAATATATAATATAAATTAATATAATTTCGTTATTAAATGAGAGAGAAATATGTGACTCGACTTTAAATTAAAGATTTACTTAATTTAGATTTTATTAAATTAGAGATTTATCAAATAAAATCTCAATATAAATATATATATATACCAATCATAAATCATCGTTATGTTAATTAATTTCATAGTCATATAAAAGTCATTCTATAACCTGGTGTAGTTGATTTTGATATCACACATGGTTTTGCTTGTTGTATTCTACGAAGAAGCATCTGCAAATATTGTTAATAAAATATTTACAAAACGCTAACATATATATATATTATAATCATTTAAGTGATATATCCTAATGCATCGATATAAGAATATATACCATGTTATCTCCTTCGATCTTCTTTTGCAGTCTTTTTCTATTAATAGCTGAACTACTCATTTTAGGTAGAGCACCTTTCCTAAGAACTTTATCACGAGGTTTATGCTGTGCCATTATTTTTCTCAATAGAAGTTCATTCTCGCGTTCAATTTTCCGTACCTCGTCATCTGTAAAACTCATATTCTTTCTTCTAGTTCTTCTTACAAATTCTAAATTTTGTTCGCTACTCTGCCGTATTCTTTCGCTTCTTTCTACACTTATACTTCCTTCAGTTTCTTCATTGTAATCAATCTCTTCTTCCTGTTTACCATTTAAATTCTCTAATTTCCCATCCTCTTCACATTTATTATCATCGATGTAAAGCGAACAAGAACCACTGACTAAATATTGCGATGCAGTTTCCTCTGACTCGCTGCAAGATTCATCAGAATAAAATGATTCATTTGTATAAGCGTATTCATCATCGAGGGTATTCTTTTCTTTATCTTTTATAGTTTCATTATCATCTTCATTGTCATTTAAATTATTAGAATGAACAATATCGTTCTCGCAGTCATCGTCTTCATCGATCTCGTGTATGTTTAATACATTATTAAAATTCTCTTTAGTTTCATTTATTTGTTTTGGTAAAATTTCGTCTGTGATAGAAACAGTACATTGACATAAATAATTAGTTTTGATCTCTTGTAAATTAGACATTGTCACACATATTTAAAATATTATTCAATCAATTGTACACAAGATAATGCACAATAAATTCAAATTGCATAAAAACAAAAAGAAAGAAAAGTAAATAAGCTTGCATGAAAGAAGACTTTTTTAAATGTGGTGTAAACAATAACTCTGTTTCTATAACAACCATAATACAAACATCATATATAATTTACAGTCATTGATAAAAAAAAACCTATTCTTGAATTTAAATATAAAATACGCATGCGTGATTAATCTATAAATATACACTTACATATTTTATATTTAATGTTATTGCCTGATCAAAGTTTATAAATAGAAATTATTTTCATATACATGTGTGAAAGAGAGGAATTTATACATAACAAGTACATAAGTTGATATATATATATATATGTTTCTTATATAGTAATGATTATATGTAAGAGTGAACTCAAAGAAGGATGTTCTGTATATATCTATGACTCATGGTGATCTAATTTTAACCTCAAAATAAATGTCAAACGTTAACTCAAGAAAGAAATTATAAATTAGAAATTAAATTATGGATGTCACTAAATCACCGATGGACAATCTGTTCAACATGTTATCCGGATTTAATGCAAGCCACGAGAAAGCTTTAAAACAGGGTATTTATAATGCAGTAGCACTTTTTTTGCTCTCCTTGGTGCTTGCTGCAGGATATGGATTATACATTGTATTAAGCCCATTTTTAAAACCACTCATTTGGGCCTTGTTATGTGGTGCTGTTCTTTTTCCATTTAAATATTCTTTAACGACAAGAGGAAAATCATGGTTCAATAAAACCGAATCAACTAACAAACCTTTGTTTTTGAACTTTATAATATTACCTCTTCATATAATAGATAATACCGCAGAAACGTTGGGTACTGCGTTATGGGATTACATAAAATACATTGTTGGTATTATTTCAATGGCATGTATAACTATGGCAATTTATAGTTATACGCCTAATATATTGTCTTGCCTAATATGGCAGATATTTAACGCTTTTAGTATTATCTTTGGCTTTTTCATATCGACTTGCAATATTTATATGGTAAGAATTTGTCTTTAAGATTTCATCGTTCATAAAAATTGTTCCCTAATTATGTTGTATTATTTTTTTACAGATTACTTTTCTATTAATCGGTTATTTATCTGTATTATACATTTATTGGTCACCAGAGAATTCGAAACATTTCTGTTATACATCATTCGTCTTATGGTTCATGATAAGTTTGTATATTTCTAATATATTTGGTGCATATCAAATATTGATATTTATCACTCTGCAAGTTTTGTATTTGGTTGGTTTTATATATGAAGTATTATTAATTATGGAAGCGCAAGAAATCGAGGGTCATCAAATAAAACTTACAGAAGCTATTTGTTTTGTAATGACTAATAGTGCATTTCCAAAATGGGAAGAAGGTACGATAATCAATAAAAAAAGGATTGAAGATACAGAAGAAGATGTTGATAAAACTGTTATGGAAAGAAGCATACCTACAACGTCGGAAAAAATAATTAATAAATCGATGTCGTTAGATTCGGATGCAGGAGGTGTGCTTTATTCAAAGATCGGACAAGAGAAAACTAAATCTATGTCTAATATAACTTCTACCAGTCATACTGCACAAGAACGTTTCTTTTTACGAAAATTGAAAACAGAATTACGAATGTCTTTAGATATCGAGGAAGATAAAGTCGACACGGATAAATATATGTACGGAGCACTTTACGCTTGCATCGGCATGATTTTATGGAAACACAAATGGATAATACAATTATTAATCATTCCTATAGCATATTATTTTGCTAAAAAACTTGGCAGCTATTTCGGCTTATGGAAATTAATATGCAAACAATGTAAGTACGTTGTAGGAATTATTAACGATTGGTGTAAAGAAAGAAATCAAGCGCTTTTACCAGCCAATGTTAGAGGATTGTATAAAGTTGCTATAATAGTTGATGAAAAATTACAAAAAGCACTGATAGGATCGATCGATGCAGTAGCAACAACTGCAGTCATAGTTGGATTATTAGTATTCACCATTTGTACATCAATATTTATAACAATACAGGTATAAATAACTCATTAATTTGTTATTTAGTTTAATTTAGTTCGTTTCTGAAAATATATAAATATATTATATATATATATTTAACTTTATTATTATTATTATTATAATCACATAACAGGTGTATGCAGAGGGTATGCATTTAATTCAAGTAACAGCTGAAATTGTTAATTCTTCCTTAATAAATAATCCAGATATAGATTGGGTACCTCAAGAATGGGAAGAATCTGTTAATAGCGTATTGGATAATGCATATACTTATGGAAGAAGTGCTATTTCTGATGGGGTAAAATATCCATATGTGTATATGTACATATGCATATGAATTATCGGAAAAGATTTTTATTTATGTGTTTATAATTTATATGCATCAGATAAGGAAACTTGTTAAAGATTTAGATTCTGCTAAGACAGAACAAATGGAGACTAAAGTATTAGAACTTTGGGACAGACTTTACCAAGCATGGATGATGTCTAACGAGAAACCAGATTTAATTGGACCGACAGTAGATTCAGCAGCGGCTTATTCCGTATGGGAAAGTTTCAGAGATAATTATGGATCTCTTCCTTTACGTATGTGGATTATATATATATATCATTTTAAAATACTTAATGTCATTTATTAATTAAATGTCATTTTTATTACTTATTTGTTTTTAGATATGTTCGATATGACCGGCATACAAAACTTTGCTAAGGAAAATGTTGGAATTCTTATGTCTTTATTAGATTCTGTTTGGAACATAGTCAAGGGTAACATGTCTGTGATACTTACTGTTTTTACTGAATTATTCTATATTATTCTTATGAGTGGAACTGCAGTATTCAATTTTATACTCAGCATGGTATGTAGATAATATTTTTTAACAAGAATTTCTCTTTGTATATAAAAATATTATATTTCTTTTTATTAATTGTTACAGATTGTTTTCTTTACCACATTGTTTTATCTTTTAAACTCCAGTGGTAAAACGTATAAACCCATCGAATTAACAACATTATTTAGTCCTATTAATTGCGACAGGTAAATATTATTCATTGATATTTATTTTATTTTATTAATAAATATATATATGATAGGAAAAAAATATTAATATTATTGACGAGATTAATACCTTTTAACAGATTCGCCGTAGCTCTTCAAAAAGCTGTTATCGGTGTATTCGCAGCCACATTCAAGCTTGCTACATTTTTTGGCATGTGGACGTGGTTCGTGCACAATTTGTTTCAAGTTAAAATAATATATTTACCATCGGCATTTGCTACGGTGTTAGGTGCAGTACCTTTCCTGGATGCATACATAGCTTGCATTCCTGCAACTTTGGAACTTTGGTTTACACGTGGATCTACAATAGCTATCCCTTTTTTTATGTTCCATTTCTTACCATGTAATATTGTGGTAACGGAATTTTATAAAGAAATAAAAGGGTATAGTATATTTTATATATATATTAATTTCTATGAAAAGAGAAGAAAAATATGATCTTTAATTGTTATTTATTTTTATTTTAGCGGTGGTCATCCGTATCTTACCGGTTTGTCCATAGCCGGTGGAATATTTTGTCTGGGTGTCGAAGGTGCTATTTTTGGACCATTACTTCTCTGTTGCATCATGGTGGTAATTAATTTAAGTCGTCATTATCTTAATTCACCGTCTATGGAAATGATAAAGACATCTCAAATGTCTAATTAAATTATTCATTATTTAAAATCAAATTTTTAAAACATATTGCTTCCATACTCTAAAACTCCAATGACTTTAAAATTATTGTATAAATGCAATATCTCATTTGATTGTATTTAAAACAAACGTTTTAAATATTGCTATCAATTATATTGCATATGCAATATCGTATAGTATTTTATAAGCAATTTGATATTTAATTTATGTTTATAGAATAATATCTCTGCGCTTACGCTTATTAGAATTAGGTATACAATTTAATTATTACGAGTTGATACTAAAAAGAAATTATATATATTTGTTAACGTTCCTGTACTAATACACGATAAGAAAAAATGATGATATAATTATCTTTAAGATCTGATAATAATACGCTAATATATCGAATCGCTAACTAAAATTTAAAATTTAAAACAAAAAATCTTGTGACTTACATGAAAGTTATTGCGTCGTACAATTAATTTTATCGCAGTTTTTCTCTTCTATATATATATATATATATATTTTTAATTTTATTCTATGAGAGTGTATTTAAAACTCGAGAAAGAATACAAACAAAATGTGAATTGTACCATTGAAGTTGTATGTATTAGCTTTTTCGTAGTTTGTTTTATTTATTAACTTCAAGTAATACTTTTATAATATTTAAATTATAGTTTTATATATATGTATAAATGTTTTTAACATAATATAAGTATTTTTTTTCTTTCTCTTTTTTCTTTCTTTTTTTATTTTTTAAATTATTTTGTCAATATAAAATTTAACAATTATTTAATATGTCCGATAGTATTATTATTATATCTTCAATAATTTTAATAATATTTATATTTCTCATCGGATACGAAATTTATTTGCATTACGATACTTATTTTCCTCCATCTAACCCATAAAAGTATTAATATGTTTATTAAAAATCTTGTTTTAATTTGTAAACGTCTGATAGAGTTGTAATTTGTATATTTTTTTTCAACATGTCCGGCGTAGTTGCTTCATACGCATGAAACTTTATATACTTTTTCTCCTGGAAGACGTGAAAGCCGTTTTCTGAGAAATGACCATCTATCGATTTCACTTCCAACCAAACAAAAAGCGCTATATTATTAGTCGTTAATTCTATTTCATAATCTGGATAATTAGACAATTTTCCTGGTAATTGATTTCCATTAATTTTTATCTAAAATAACACAAATTTTGTGTATTATTACTTATTGGATATTTTATTATTATGCTTAGAGAGAGATGAAATTTACTTACATTGACATTGGCTGATGGAATATTAACATCTTTTAATACAGTTGGATAAACATAATTAACTGGAGCGATTTGTAATCCATTATTATCTTCAAGCGTGAGACGTACGACACAGAATTTCTTAGCTTCTGCCAATGTTCCGCATTTAACTTTTTCAAGAAGTTTGTCAAGCCACATCGACGTAACTAACATCGCTTTATTTGGCTCCTGTTAACACACATAGAAGTATTTAATATTCTTTGCGTATTATACAGAAGAATAATTGATTCAAATACTTACAATTTTGATATTATGGAAAGAATATACATGAAGAGGTTGCATCGATTTCCAATTATAGATGCTGCATTTTAAAGTACAATTATTTATCGCATATAATTTATCGGAAACAATATATAAAGATAATTCATTTCCTTGAGATAAACGAGACGTTACAATAATTGGTGAGAAAAATTCTGTTGCATAATAATGAAGCATTTTCCATCTTCCTCCATATTCTAAAAAAAAAAAACGTGCAAACACGTGAGATATAATTAAAATATAAACAAAAATGGGAAACATAATTTAAAATTAATTACCGATAGAAGACCACGAGGGAGCTTGCCAAACATCATTCAATTGCCAATAAAGTGCTCCCATCGTAAATCCTTCTCCTAAAGTATTTAATTCTGATCTAGCTTGACGATACGATTCAGTTTGTATTTTAACAGAGACAGCTTGATTTATTTGACTCAAATATATAAAATCTGTGAAATCTCTTATCGTATCGTTTGACTTTGGTATAAGAAAATTTTTCGAAATGAGGAGATTCATAAATTCCGTACCAAAAGGTAAATGTTGACGATGATTCATAATGTTACTCTTTGTATGTAAATCGTTAATATTATTTATAATTTTGGAAATCGTAAAAATCGATGGAAACGATTGAAATCCATATTCAGACATAAATCTTGAACGTGGGTATTGATTGATATCCCATCCATTGATTAAATAATTATAATAATGAACTGTAATAAATTTCATTTAATTATTTAATTACATTTCATAATATAAAATATATATATAATGAATCTTACCATCTCCATAGAAATTTGAATATGGATTTTGTCCGGTATAATTGTATTCTTTAGTATGTAAACCATTACTAGGACTGGATACGACAAAAGGTCTGGTAGTATCTAATTTTTGCACTTCCTTCTTGATTAAATTCACATAAAGTTTAATGTAATCATTTCTATATATATCCGCTTTACCAGTTCCATACCAATTACTGTACAAAGCTGCTTCATTTTCATTATTACCGGCCCATAAAACTACACTAACGTGATTTTTTAATCGTCTTACGTTTTGTACAACTTCCTCTTTAACGGAACTCAAAAATTCATCACTTGTAGGATACATGGCGCAAGCGAACATAAAGTCTTGCCAAATCATAATTCCAAACTCGTCGGCTAAATTATAAAATAAATCTGACTCGTACATTCCACCACCCCAAACTCTGAGCATATTCATATGCGCTTCTTTAGCCGATTGTAATAAATGTCTGATAACGTGTTCTTCAGCCGCTAATTCAGGAAATATACTTGCTGGAATAAAGTTACTTCCCTTTGCAAATATTGGTACACCATTTATCCGAAAATAAAAACTCAATCCTTTCTCTAAAGGTTCTTCTATTAATTCTATTGTTCTGAAACCTATACGCAAATATTTATTTAATGTTTCGGTTCCTGTCGTAACGGTAACTATTAACGTATATAAATTTTGTTTCCCATATCCATTCGGCCACCATCTATCAATTAATTTCTGTTAAATATATAATTCAAGATTATTTACAATATAAAATCATTTTTATAATGAAGAAATTAAATAAGTCAACTTACTGAATCTATTTTCAATATAATCGATGCTGTAACATATCCATCCTTAACTTGTAATATTACGTCAGATGAATTTTCAACGTAGTTAATATTTGTAAGATATAATCTTGAATTTATATTACACGTAATATTATCTGTATTTTTACGAGGAGGAATTTCAAAGAATATCGTTACAACTATTTCCCAATATTTGTCTCTTTCATAAACATCCGTTGTAACATCTGTGATTAGAATTTCTTTAGTAGAAATTAATTCAACGCTTTTCCTAGAATATTATTTTATTAGTTTACTATCAATTAAATGTCATAAGTAAACAAATAAATTGATTGTACCAAATGCCCATAGAAGGAAAAGCTGGGCCCCAATCCCATGAGAAACTAGCTTGCATTTTTCTAATATGATTAACGTGACATTCTCCATTATATTCTTTGGGAACACATTTTGGAGGTACGATGTATCGTAGACTTTGATTCTTGTATAAATCCTCAGCCATTTTTATAGGTGAATGAAATACAATTTTTAAAGCGTTCTCTCCTATCTATGAGTTTTTGTTTCTTTTTTTTTTATCTATGTATATATCTATATTGTTTTATAAAAAAAGAATAATAAACAAGTACCTTTAAATATTCTTCTATATAAAATATATATTTTAAAAACATATTAGAAGTTTCTTCTATTTTATGATCATTCAAAAAGATGGTAGCAAAAGTATCCAGCCCATGAAATATCAATGCTACCGTTGAACCATCTATCAAAGTATTTGTACCTGAAAAATTGATATCCATGAGTTAAGAAAGTTTAATTAGCGCATTTATATTTTTAAATAAATATTATTAATTACCAGTAAAATTTCTACTATATACAATGGTTTGATTACCGACCCATCGATTAATTACATCGTTTATTGCTAAAAGATTATCAGGTATCAAATGTGATGCTGTTAAATCTGTATAAACACCGCCTGGTACAACTGCTGGAAACTCTAATTCTATAAAGATAATATATTATTATTAATTATTAATAATTAAATAAATAAATACACAAAAGAGAGAGAGAAGAGAGATTTAAAAATAAAATATTTTACCTTTGCATTTTTGATTAGAATTTTTATCTAAAATAAATAAATACAAATTAATATGAAAAATATTATTTATGTAGAAGTAAAAAATATTAATTAAATCTTACCACATAAAATATTTCCTTTCCATGAACCATTTAAGGTTATGAATTCCATAGACACATTGTTTACACATATGATTAATAGGAATATTATTAATTTCTTCATATTTTTTTTATGTAAACTTTAAACAACCATAAGTTGTAAAACAATACAAATTAATTGATACTATTGTTAACGTAAATTTCACATAGACTTTATGTTGCATGTGTGATAAACATGCTAATATACATCTGCGATAAACAATAATTTTTTTTTTTAATTTTATTTAATTTGATTATTCAGCAAGAAAATATTTATTAATTGAAATATTAAAACGTAAGAGTAGTATTACACTACTGCGCAAATTATATATATATATATATAATTTGCGCAGTAGTGTAATACTACTCTTACGTTTTAATATTTCAATTAATAAATATTTTCTTGCTGAATAATCAAATTAAATAAAATTAAAAAAAAAAATTATTGTTTATCGCAGATGTATATTAGCATGTTTATCACACATGCAACATAAAGTCTATGTGAAATTTACGTTAACAATAGTATCAATTAATTTGTATTGTTTTACAACTTATGGTTGTTTAAAGTTTACATAAAAAAAATATGAAGAAATTAATAATATTCCTATTAATCATATGTGTAAACAATGTGTCTATGGAATTCATAACCTTAAATGGTTCATGGAAAGGAAATATTTTATGTGGTAAGATTTAATTAATATTTTTTACTTCTACATAAATAATATTTTTCATATTAATTTGTATTTATTTATTTTAGATAAAAATTCTAATCAAAAATGCAAAGGTAAAATATTTTATTTTTAAATCTCTCTTCTCTCTCTCTTTTGTGTATTTATTTATTTAATTATTAATAATTAATAATAATATATTATCTTTATAGAATTAGAGTTTCCAGCAGTTGTACCAGGCGGTGTTTATACAGATTTAACAGCATCACATTTGATACCTGATAATCTTTTAGCAATAAACGATGTAATTAATCGATGGGTCGGTAATCAAACCATTGTATATAGTAGAAATTTTACTGGTAATTAATAATATTTATTTAAAAATATAAATGCGCTAATTAAACTTTCTTAACTCATGGATATCAATTTTTCAGGTACAAATACTTTGATAGATGGTTCAACGGTAGCATTGATATTTCATGGGCTGGATACTTTTGCTACCATCTTTTTGAATGATCATAAAATAGAAGAAACTTCTAATATGTTTTTAAAATATATATTTTATATAGAAGAATATTTAAAGGTACTTGTTTATTATTCTTTTTTTATAAAACAATATAGATATATACATAGATAAAAAAAAAAGAAACAAAAACTCATAGATAGGAGAGAACGCTTTAAAAATTGTATTTCATTCACCTATAAAAATGGCTGAGGATTTATACAAGAATCAAAGTCTACGATACATCGTACCTCCAAAATGTGTTCCCAAAGAATATAATGGAGAATGTCACGTTAATCATATTAGAAAAATGCAAGCTAGTTTCTCATGGGATTGGGGCCCAGCTTTTCCTTCTATGGGCATTTGGTACAATCAATTTATTTGTTTACTTATGACATTTAATTGATAGTAAACTAATAAAATAATATTCTAGGAAAAGCGTTGAATTAATTTCTACTAAAGAAATTCTAATCACAGATGTTACAACGGATGTTTATGAAAGAGACAAATATTGGGAAATAGTTGTAACGATATTCTTTGAAATTCCTCCTCGTAAAAATACAGATAATATTACGTGTAATATAAATTCAAGATTATATCTTACAAATATTAACTACGTTGAAAATTCATCTGACGTAATATTACAAGTTAAGGATGGATATGTTACAGCATCGATTATATTGAAAATAGATTCAGTAAGTTGACTTATTTAATTTCTTCATTATAAAAATGATTTTATATTGTAAATAATCTTGAATTATATATTTAACAGAAATTAATTGATAGATGGTGGCCGAATGGATATGGGAAACAAAATTTATATACGTTAATAGTTACCGTTACGACAGGAACCGAAACATTAAATAAATATTTGCGTATAGGTTTCAGAACAATAGAATTAATAGAAGAACCTTTAGAGAAAGGATTGAGTTTTTATTTTCGGATAAATGGTGTACCAATATTTGCAAAGGGAAGTAACTTTATTCCAGCAAGTATATTTCCTGAATTAGCGGCTGAAGAACACGTTATCAGACATTTATTACAATCGGCTAAAGAAGCGCATATGAATATGCTCAGAGTTTGGGGTGGTGGAATGTACGAGTCAGATTTATTTTATAATTTAGCCGACGAGTTTGGAATTATGATTTGGCAAGACTTTATGTTCGCTTGCGCCATGTATCCTACAAGTGATGAATTTTTGAGTTCCGTTAAAGAGGAAGTTGTACAAAACGTAAGACGATTAAAAAATCACGTTAGTGTAGTTTTATGGGCCGGTAATAATGAAAATGAAGCAGCTTTGTACAGTAATTGGTATGGAACTGGTAAAGCGGATATATATAGAAATGATTACATTAAACTTTATGTGAATTTAATCAAGAAGGAAGTGCAAAAATTAGATACTACCAGACCTTTTGTCGTATCCAGTCCTAGTAATGGTTTACATACTAAAGAATACAATTATACCGGACAAAATCCATATTCAAATTTCTATGGAGATGGTAAGATTCATTATATATATATTTTATATTATGAAATGTAATTAAATAATTAAATGAAATTTATTACAGTTCATTATTATAATTATTTAATCAATGGATGGGATATCAATCAATACCCACGTTCAAGATTTATGTCTGAATATGGATTTCAATCGTTTCCATCGATTTTTACGATTTCCAAAATTATAAATAATATTAACGATTTACATACAAAGAGTAACATTATGAATCATCGTCAACATTTACCTTTTGGTACGGAATTTATGAATCTCCTCATTTCGAAAAATTTTCTTATACCAAAGTCAAACGATACGATAAGAGATTTCACAGATTTTATATATTTGAGTCAAATAAATCAAGCTGTCTCTGTTAAAATACAAACTGAATCGTATCGTCAAGCTAGATCAGAATTAAATACTTTAGGAGAAGGATTTACGATGGGAGCACTTTATTGGCAATTGAATGATGTTTGGCAAGCTCCCTCGTGGTCTTCTATCGGTAATTAATTTTAAATTATGTTTCCCATTTTTGTTTATATTTTAATTATATCTCACGTG